GCAGATCGACATCCAAACTCTAAAGCATTATTGTTTTCTATTCAAACAGAGACTTTCAAGAGTTGGGGGAAGATGGACAAAATTCTAAACATCCATGGCTTAATTAAGTAGCTGGTGTTTTATTTTATTTTAACTTGAAAGAGCCAAATCTTAAAATATTAAATCATATGCTAATTTCGAGATTTAACCATAATTTGAGTAAGTCCCAGTGAGAATCATATATAATCTTTAAAAGTTCGGGCTTGAGTAGAAAAAATACATGGCTTGCCGCCTAAAAATCTTAAATCACATTTGGCTGGAGGGAAATTTCAGTTTAAGACCAAACTTTGCCAATTCATGAAAAGGATTAATTTATGTTGCTGCAAATTGCAATATATCCTACCCAGAATAATAATTCATATGTTGTACTCCCTTCGTCCCAAAATTATTGTCCAGTTTGAAATTTCACTTTTAGTACAATTTGAACTAAAAATAAAAACTCAAACTGGACAATAATTATACGACGGAGGAATTATTGTAAAAAGAAAGTTCTTCTATTCCGCAAGAATTAAGAAGTATTTGGCTGATCTAGTCAGGCTTTCAGAGTCAAGTATGGTAGAAAACACTACATCAAGCATGTCGCAGTTTCTAATTAAGGTGGGATAATTTCTTTTTTTTCCATTCTCTTTTTAATCTAACTTTGATCAACATACGCTTATTTTCTTCATATATATATAATCAATCATCCCCTATTTCCAATACTGGATAATAATTAGGCAAATAACAGAGAGTTTATGGGGCAAACGCAAGTCATACTTCATAAATATTCTTTCTTTGAAGGGAAATGTTGTCTTTGAAAATCGTAATACATGCATGTATAATTGTGAGGAACTGATCATACTTCTATCTTTCAAACACTCTTAACCATAAAACGTACCCCTCCCTCCAAAATATTACTCTTATTCATTAATTGTACTCTCTCGTCCCACAAAAATAGTTCAAATTGTATATTATACTCCTTCCATTCTCAAAAATAGTCAGTGTTGAGTATTGAGACTTATACTGACAAGAGGAGTATTTTTTTCATATAATTTGTCCCTTACTGACAATTTATAGTAATATAGAATTAATAACTAATGAAATAACAAAAAATCACACTACTCCCTCTATAACTACCAAAAAATTGGGGGAGGAATGATTATGTATTTATACATGTGTTACATTAATCACTATTTCATTTTACTACATTTATATCATTTTGCCAATTTGTAATACAATTTTTTAATTTTTTTTTTGACGAAGAGAGTACCAAAATATATAGTTAAAAACATGCATAATCATAGTAGAAAAGATATGGAAATGATCACATGATAGTTTGGTTTAGTTTGTTGACATTGATTACCTTTAAAAAAATGACTAGTTAAGTACATTCGAGGGAGTATTAAGAATATAGCTATGAGTATAGGATACATACAAGTAAAAGTAACAAAGATAACTAATAAAAAATGAGACTATATTGTATAGACTAAATTTGTATTATCCGCATAGCTTGAAAACCCAATATATAAATTCTATGAATGAAATGTCGGGCATGAATATTTGCAATTGAATCCTCCGCGTCGCGTCATTTCTTGAAAATTTGGGGTATAAATATCTTTCCTCTCAATTGATGGGGACCTAAACTTGAAACATATGAATACTTCACCGTCTTGGTCATTTTGACTATGCGTGCATTTTGGGATATCTTAATTATGAATACGAAAAGGAAGTCACAAAATCGAAATGGTTTTTTTGTTTTGTTAAAATTTCGTGGCTGAAGAAATTCCACATTCTCACGACATTAATGCTTAAATTGATACGTGCGGTTATGAAAGTTTGTACTCTATCTCCCGATGTCTATACCAAGACACCTTCCTATGATTGTATCCACATAACATGATACAACACTACCACTTGGAAGTTGGAACTTGGAAACAATACCAAATTTTGCAGTAGAGTTTGGTTGCCAATATGAAGAACTCTGTTCGAGTTTCTTTTGTACAATTCATTCACGACTCGTATCGGTTTCGATCTGGAACAGTTGTTTGGCTAGATTTCGATGTTGTTTCAGATTGCAATATTTCGAGTTACGGAATTTAATTTAAAAAAAAATGACATAGTACCCTGCGAAAATGCTACCATGTTATAAACAAAAAAAAAAAAACCATGTAAAAAAATAATAATTATATCTTTTATTGAGTTATTTTAGCGTTGTATAATATAATTATTATGTTATTTTATTAAGAATAATAACATATACATGAAAATTTACTCGGCATGAGGTGACTAAATCGTAAGTATCCTCTAACGTTTAAATAGTTAAACCCTAAAGGATTAGTATAAGTTTATATTATGACGGTTATAATTCAATATTCTCTGTAAAAATTTTCTGTACAAATCATTATCTTTTTATTAATTACTGTTTCAATTCGTTATATATCTCCAGTTCAGAATATTTTCTCTTCAATTTCTTTTGGTCAATGACATTACCAGAAATTTTCATTACACTGTCGAAAATAATATTCCTTTTTGTTTGACTATCATTTTAGGAGCGGAAGGAGTAAATTAATCTGCCAATTGCCTCTCTATCTAAAACTCTAGATCCATTCTCCAGAGTGTTAATTTCATATGATCCAACTCCCAACTAGCTAAGGTACTTGCAGGCGCATCGTTGGAGTATATATATTATAGCTTGGCACTTAGACTAAATAAAACCGGCCAACAAATTCTTACAGTAATTAAAGAAGATTAAATAATTAGTATTCAGTTCACCATCAATAAGTTAAATACTAGTACTTAATTCAAGCCTATTTAAATCCATTGTACTGCGTTAGCTCAAAGCTTTTGAAAGTGATGGTTTTATTGGTAATTGAAACTTCTTAAGTTTGAGTCCTACATTTAACAATCAACTTCAAATTGCAGTTTGGGATGTAAGTAACGTATAAAACCAATAACTGAGTTCGATTTGCCATTTGTTTTTTTTTTTTTTTTGAAACTACTCCCATCGTCCCGTAGGAATAAACCACTTTATTGGAGACTTTTTTTTCCCCTTAAAAAAGTGGATTGTTTTTATGAAACATGAGTATTAATTTGTTAATTTAAGAAGGATTATTCAAGGAGAAGCTAGCTAGACACCTGAACTGAAAAGAATTTAACAAGAAATAACAGTTCATTAACAGTTCATTGATGATAACTACTACAGTGTTTGCCGCCTCGTGTTTGTTTGTTTTTTGTTTTTTAAGAGTAATGAAAAAATTCAGCATTAATTAAACCAACGAAGACTTTTAGTTAATTTATTTTCATAATAATAAACCAATGAGGTTTAATCCCGTTTACTTTCGCTTTGGAGCTGATTAATTGTTTCAGCAGCCGTGAAATTGTTGGCTACGAAATTTTCATGTATGTCTATTGATAGCTTCTTCAATTGTCACATATTCCTGTATTGCATATCGAATACTATTTCATTATGGATTATTTATTAACGTAGAAAACCAAAATTATGAATTAATTGAATATTGACTACCCACGGAATGGAAGGTTGACTTTTTCTTCAATTTCTTTGCCTTTTTTTTGAGTTTGTTTTCCCCATATCTCATGGAGAGGGTTACTTGGAAAAGAATTATAAAAAAGAAGAGAAAGAAGATGAGTACATATAATTGAAGTGGAAACTAATGGAAGTACAACAAGAACGTTAATTGAAACGTAAGTAAATGAAAATCCTGTGCCATCTAGATAGACGGCTCTTAAGCCTGATTTTTTTTTTTATAAAAAAATTAATACCTGTATATTAATGAGAAGTACCTAAATTATTACAACGATATGTGTTATAAGTAGATTATGCGATTCTCTAACCTTATTCCTGCTAACTTTAATCAGTTGGCATGATTCAAAAATTGGAAATAAAACTAGTACTCCTTCCGGTCTTTATTATAAGGCATTTTGATTTTTTTTTTTCTATATTTCAATTAGTATACATTTTTAATTGACAAAAAAACTTTAAAAATATATTTTCATATTCGTTGTGTTCTCTTGATTATTATAAAATATTTTTAAGAGTTTTTCGTCGATTAAAAATATTTACTAAATTAAATTTCGGACAAATCAAAATGTCTTATATTAAGGACCGGAGGGAGTAGTACGAAACAATCTCTTGTGGCTCTTAAACCTAAGTTGTATGAAAAAAGATTAAGAAAGTCATCAATGTAAGACTAGCTAAACCTACAATTAGTGATTCTTTGACAAATGTTTGAAAGAGTTTTTATTTTTTTATTTTTTTATTGATAACGAAAACTTCCTACTTAGTTACACTGATTCATTTATCATTTAACGTCACTGCATATTCTTAAGTAACTCAAAGAAAAGAAAAGGAGAAATTAAACTTTTTATCGGATTCACTAATTAACCAGTTACGACTTCTAAAAATATTATGCACTAAACAGTTAGTTAGAAGCATGCATGCTTACTTGGAAACAAAGGCAAATCCCATCTACTCAAATTTGAGAAAATGGTCATACGGTTACAATCATTCTCACATGAATCGGACCAGAATCATCAGGCGGTAATTTTTTTGCATTTTACCCTACTCTATGTATCTAATTCGTTATTTCCTCCCCCCCGCCCCCCAATAATAGTAATTGATTTGAGTCAAATATTCACGGCTTCAATGAGGGAACCATGACGTTGCATAATGAATGGCCAATAGGCAGCCAAATATGAAGCATCATTGACATTCATCATCACACTCGAGACACACGAGGGTATTTTTCCTACGTTATTATTCTCACACCACAAACAAACACAAAAGGGTATTTTCGATATTCGATTAACAACAAAAAGAGCATTAGAAAGGAATATAAACATAAAATATTTACTTTAATAACAAGATCCAAATCAATTAATTTTAAAAAAATACGTAACTGATACCAGAAAACAGCACCTATTAATAACAAGTCTAACCATACACGCACAAATCAGACACTGAACTTTAGTATTAAATCACCCCCAAGTTCCTTAACCATGGTTAAGGTGTGTTAGGTGGGTTTGACCAGTCTGGTTTGGTAGGCTGTATATTGGAGAGGTCTGTTTATTATTTAACCCTTTTTTTTTCAATTTCATTTATTATTTATTTAATGTTAATAATTAAATATGTATATTTTGCTTTGAAGTCTCCCATATAAAAACTCCCCCTTTCTTTCTCATTTTCTTCATATTAATTCTTGGAAAGATTTCTTGCCAAACCTCACCAAGAAACACACCAACCACCAACTCCAATACACACACAATCACATTCTTCAATTTTCCCTCTATTTACTCCGCCGGCGAAGCTGAAGCCTCAAAAAGCATCAGCAATTCGCCGAACTAACTCCGACCCTGTTTGAAAAATTCAATCTTGATTCTGTGAGCGTTTTGGTGAGAAATTCGGGATTTTTTTGAAATTCCCGGTTGAAGTTTATTAATTTAAACTTGGACCCAGTTAGAAATAAGGAGAATGGATTCTGGTTCAGAGAAGCTATCCCCTTTTGATTTGATGGCTGCGATCTTTAATGGAGTTAAATTTGATGGTTCCAATGTTTCGGAATCAGGAGGGCAAGTGCCGCCGTCGGTGGCTATGTTGCTGGAGAACAAGGAGCTCCTGATGATTTTGAGTACATCAGTTGCGGTTTTGATCGGATGTGTTGTTGCATTAGTATGGCGGCGGTCGTCGGGATCGGCCAAAAAACCGTTGGTCCCTCCGAAGCCAATTGTGCCGAAGGTGGTAATTGAGCCGGAGGAAGTTGATGATGGAAAGACTAAAGTGACCATCCTTTATGGAACCCAGACTGGCACAGCTGAAGGCTTTGCCAAGGTGAATTTTTTTTTTTTTTTTTGACAAATTGAATTCATGCTTCCTGTATGTGATTTGATTCATTAGAATATTCAGAATAATCATGAAACCGTTCTTTGCCTGCACATGCCCATCTGAATGACTAAATTAGTAAATTGGGTTGCCCTTGCTCCCGAATAAGTCAAAGTTGGATGGGCGAGGGGCAGTAAAGTAAATTCGCTATTGATGACAATTCTGATGCTTTTCTTGGTTTTTGCTTCATTTGATTTGATGATGATTAAGCTCTTGATTGTTTTGTTTTGTTTTGTTTAGGCTCTCGCTGAGGAAGCTAAAGCTCGGTATGAAAAGGCCGTTTTCAAAGTCATTGACTTGGTGAGTTTTTGTTTTTTTATTCCGGTTGTTCTTTTAATTTTGTTTCTGCATCTTGTTTTTGTTTGGTTTTATTATGCTTCTGGGTCTTGTATTAATGCATGAAATCTTCATTCCTTGATAGGATGACTATGCGGCTGATGATGAGGAATACGAGAGCAAGCTGAAAAAGGAGACACTAGTATTCTTCTTCTTGGCCACGTGAGTTTCGCTTCTTAGTTATTGCTTCCAACTGTCTTTTGTTGGTGTTTGTGCATTTATGCGGTGGTGTTTGTACTTTTCCGGGAAGAGTAGGCTCTATTTATTTGTGTTCTGACTGGATTGGGTGATGGTTGGTTGATTTGTAGATATGGAGATGGTGAGCCAACTGACAACGCTGCAAGATTTTATAAATGGTTTGTCGAGGTAAGAATATAGATGTGCTGTACTAGATGGTTTACTGAGCTTGGAAACTGAAATGTTACTGATTGTGAGGATTAATCTTTAAATTACTTTTCTTGTCTCCAGGGGAAAGAAAGGGGGGACTGGCTTAAGAACCTTAACTATGGAGTATTTGGCCTTGGCAACAGGCAATATGAGCATTTCAACAAGGTCTAATATATTTTTTTGTTCTTTCGGCCAAGATTCTTTCTGGGTTATATTATTATTATTATTATTTTTTTTTTGTGTATTAAATTGTCTTTGTGTCTTTCTTTTTTGTGCTCAACAGATTGCTAAAGAAGTGGATGACATTTGTGCTGAGCAAGGTTGGTAAATTTTTTGCACTTATTTGAATTTTACACTGCAAATAATTGATTAATGTTTTGACTTTTATCGCTTGCTGAATGCAAGAGTTGGTCATGTGATTTCCATCCTGAATAGTTGTTAACATTATTCTCGGGATTTTTAAAATCATACTCCCTCAGTTCCAAAATTATTGTCCAGTTTGTGTTTTCATTTTTAGTACAAATTCTGCAAATTGTATTAAAAGTGAAATCCCAAACTGGACAATCATTTTGGGACGGAGGGAGTATTAGTTAGAACTCTTTGGAGTTTTTCATGCTAGTGCAATTTTCTAGTCTTCCATTCTTATTTTGCTAATATTATGTTTTGTGAGCAAGTTGTCATTTGTGGATCTTCTCTGCTTACATTCTCTTTACATTTTTATCAGGCGGGAAGCGTCTTGTTCCTGTGGGTCTTGGGGATGATGATCAATGCATTGAAGATGATTTTACTGCATGGTATGATCAGTTATAGTGCTAACTATCTAAAATCTACTTTGTCCTAGCTTCCATTTTGTTTCTAAGTGTGATTGACTCTGTTGATACAGGCGTGAGGATTTATGGCCTGAATTGGATAAATTGCTCCGTGATGAGGATGACGCAGCTGTTGCCACTCCATACACCGCTGCTATTTTGGAGTATCGGGTTGTTTTCCATGATGGCTCAGATTCAGTTCAGGAAAGAGCAAACGGACATGCCAATGGTCATGCTGTTTATGATGCTCAGCATCCATGCAGGTAAACAGTGCTCCTACAGTCTTTACTTTGGTAAAAATGAAAAATCAATTGCTTGTTTTTTTGTGTGGTAAATGATTACTATCCGAGGAGCATGGTGCTGTGATTTTTTTTTCTCTAATTTATCCGTACTTCTAATTAAAGGTCTAACGTGGCTGTGAAGAGGGAGCTTCATACTTCTGCCTCTGATCGTTCTTGCACACATCTTGAGTTTGACATTTCTGGCACCGGGCTTAGGTAAGTTGGTTTTTATAACTCTGGTCTCTTGGCACGAGTATAATGAATTTTACCATTTCATTAAATGTTTAATCGTGTTTACTATTCTTTCACTGTTGCTACTCAGGTATGAAACAGGAGACCATGTTGGCGTGTATTGCGAAAATTTGAGTGAGACTGTTGAGGAGGCTGCAAGATTACTAAACTTACCCCCAGACACATACTTCTCCATTCACGCCGACAAGGAAGATGGTACACCACTTGGTGGAAGCTCTCTGCCACCTACCTTCCCTCCTTGTACTCTCAGAACTGCCCTTGCCAAGTATGCTGATCTACTAGGTTCTCCAAAGAAGGTATTTTATTTATCCGATCAACAATTTGAGCTTCAGGGCACCACATTTTGCTTATGAAGTACTAATACTTTATTGTCCCTACTTTACAGTCCGCTTTGCTAGCTCTAGCCGCTTATGCATCTGACCCTAGTGAGGCTGATCGCTTGAGACATCTTGCTTCTCCAGCTGGGAAGGTTTGGACCTGCTTCCACTTTGCCTTTGGCGTTGAATTTCGGTGTTAAGTCTCTCTTCTAATGTGATGGATATCTACTTGCGCAGGAGGACTATGCTCAATGGGTCGTTGCTAGTCAGAGAAGCCTGCTTGAGGTAATGGCTGAATTTCCTTCAGCAAAGCCTCCACTTGGAGTTTTCTTCGCCGCAGTTGCCCCACGTTTGCCAGCTAGATTCTATTCAATTTCATCTTCACCAAGGTAAATTGACTTGTCAAAAACTGCTAAACAGCATTTCCTTCTGTCATCATACAGTAGATGTATCTGTTTCCAAATGTCGTTGGTTTTTCTCCCCCATTGCATTTATAATGATTTTTCTCCCCCATTGCATTTATAATGAAAACTCTTGATATGGTGTAACAGTGATTGTTATCCCTGCTTAAGATCATTTTTTTTTTTTTTTGCTGCATAATTTTGTCAAATAAGTCCACACAATCTCATTTTTCATCATTCATGTTTTGCAGGATGGCACCTAACAGAATTCATGTGACATGTGCACTTGTCTATGAGAAAACACCAACTGGAAGAATTCACAAGGGTGTTTGCTCAACATGGATGAAGGTAGTTGTCTGAGAGTTTTTAGGTTATTTTTATTTTTATTTTTCTGAACATGCTGGGTTTAGATAGATTGAAAAAGTGGAAACTATCTGTTCGACTGAAACATCTTTTCATCTTTCGTTGGTGTTAAGAACCTATGTTTTTCCTTGGTCTTAATTCTCTGTTTATTTTTGATCAGAACGCCATTCCTTTGGAGGAAAGTTTTGACTGCAGCTGGGCTCCAATTTTTGTCAGGACATCTAACTTTAGACTCCCTTCTGATCCTAAAGTACCTGTCATAATGATCGGGCCTGGTACCGGGTTGGCTCCCTTTAGAGGTTTCCTTCAGGTTTGTATCAAAACAGGGTGTACATTTTGCTAGCTTGTTATTAAGTTCTGTTAACTGTATAATGTCTACTGTTGTTCTAATGCATCCGTGTTCTTTTACAGGAAAGATTAGCTTTGAAGGAAGAGGGAACTGAACTTGGTCCTGCAGTCCTCTTTTTCGGGTGCAGGAATCGGCAAATGGTTAGTTATTTTGTTACAAATTCTTGGTATATCTGTGAATAAGTTAATGCCTTCTTGTTTAGTATTTCTCTTTATGACCTTATTAATCTAATTTCTGCTATATCTCAGGACTACATTTACCAAGAGGAATTAAGCACCTTTGTGGAAAGTGGTGCGGTTTCTGAGCTAATTGTAGCTTTCTCACGTGAGGGAGCCACTAAGCAGTATGTACAACATAAAATGGCAGAGAAGGTACTCATATGGAACGAGTTTTTGCACCCTAAATACTTGTGATGTTAGAATTCATTTGTTTAGACAGACATTCTTCTCTTGAGTATTAATTACACATTTTTCCATTGTGCTTAGGCTTCCGATATCTGGAGCTTGATCTCTCAGGGCGCATATGTATATGTCTGTGGTGATGCCAAAGGCATGGCCAAAGATGTGCACCGAACTCTCCACAACATTGTGCAAGAGCAGGTAATGCTCTTTGCTAACATGGGATTCTTTACCCCCCTTAATTTTTTGGTTGATTTGCATGCTCTTTGGTTGGTGGAAGTCCAACCATAGCCCTGAAACTCAGTTATATGGATTCATGACTTGTTCCTTGCACGGCCACAAAAGAAAATCTCTAATAAATCATCTGATGTCCTACTGTAGATTTGAAAAGGACTAGATCAATAATGTAGTAATGTCATTGCATCCATCATTTTCTGAAAAAAGTTAGTGGCCAGCAAAGTCGGTTATCACCATTCCCCACAAAACTGAAAGAAAAGACTACTAACTTGCTTTCTCCACTTGTATTAAATGGTCATACTATTTATCAGAGTCTGATGTGGAATTGGATCTAATGTGACGAGTCTTCACTGACTTTTGTTTCAGGGTTCCATGGACAGCTCTAAAGCCGAGGGTTTCGTGAAGAATCTGCAAACCAGCGGAAGGTACTTGCGTGATGTGTGGTGATCGCAGTTCCCAGAAGGTCGGAAAATAAGAAGAAATGGGGAAAGTTTATAGGGTGTCTTGGGAAGGCAATGTGCAAAGATTTTACCGCCTTCCTCAGCCGGTGTGCTTCCCTATTCTGTCATTATCATAGCAGTTGTGGGATGATCTTATGATAATTCTTTTTTGTTTGCGACGATTTTTTTGTTCGTGTTATTTATATTCCTATATATATATTTATGAAGTAAATGTAATATGGGTATACAAATAATGATATGAGAACAACAACATTAGTATTAGGGAAGATAGGTGGTGCGATTAGGAAGTCTGTATTATTTCCTAGTGAGGGACTTCATGAGCAAGAAGAATTTGTTCTGACTGCAATGTACTGATTCTGAACTCAAAAATTAATATATGATTTTGTTTCAATTTTCCATGCCACAAAAATAATGATAATTCTTTTTTTTTTTGGTTTTTTTTTTTTTTAATTTTTTATGTAAGCACCCATTAGAAGACGAGTAAATCTTGAGGGACATAAGAATAATGGTATTATCAAACGAAGGGTGGCTCTCATTTCTCCATTTCCACGTTGTCATTGATGTCCCTTTTTAAAAGATGAATCCTGACCATGAAAACAATATGATTGATTGGCATTATTTCTTTTTTTTTTTTGTTTGATTCCTAAAGATTAGGAAAATGAGCGAGTAAAGGAAAATGCAGGGCTTTGGACATGAATTATTGCTTAAAAGAAATTGGGGCCGACAAATGCCGTGGAGGGGTAGGTACAACAAAAAACCAGAACAAAGACACGACTCATTGTTTAGGTGAGAAACCATTCATTGGTGACATTTTTTTTTAAAAAATAAATTAAAAATTTTTATCTTAATTTATTTGCACGTTTTGATTTTGAATTTATTTCTAAAATAAAAAATTGATGTTGAACTATGAAGGGGAAAGTGCACTTATTTTTGTTTACATGTGTCAAAAACTCCACATTTTTACTATTTGATATTACAAAAAAAATTATACCATGAACAATGCATTTATTTATTTATTTTTACTTCCATCTATGATCATTGAGAAAAATGAAACGATTTTTTTTTCCTTTTTTTTTGGGGGTTGTATGTGAATGGTGAAATATTTTGGGGGTTGTATGTGTGTATTAATCTAAATATTATATTTGAAAAAAGCAAATGACAAAAGATGCACTGGCTCAACTGTAAATTGTATATTGAATTGACAAACAAATTAAATTTTAAAATTTTTCTTAAAAAAATTTAAAAAATCTAATATAATATTCGTTCTATCCTATAAAATAGTTCTCTTTTTATTTTGTAAATTATACAAAAAATTATACAATTCATAATTTGTAGAAGTCTATAGGTTACAATTCGTAATAGTACAATGCATAATTTGTAGAAGTACATAGGATCTATATTAATGAAGGGAAAGATCACAGTATTATTATCATTCTTGCGTGTTGTTATTTTAGTTTGTTCCTGTATTTGAACCCTCTTTTTCAGTAATTTTAAAGTTTTACTTTCATTATGCCGCCAAGGTCTCATGATAAAATTAGTCAATTTTATTGTGTTCCTTCAAGAAACTTCTATGGTTTGGGCCGGCAAGAAGAACATGTCTTTTTTTGAATAAGAAGAACATGTCAAAGTCGCTGGAATTGGTGAGGAAAAGGAAATAACGAAGGAAAAAGTTCAACAATTTCCTTTCACCAGAAAAAAAAATAAAAAATCTAGAATGACCAAAAAATCAAATAATTTAACCCACTGAAACAATTATAGTTTGCATTTATTTGGCCACCCAAATCGTTTTAATACTTTATTTTTAAAAAATGGACATCGATGCAAGGGGAAAAGAGAAAGAACATACGTGGTTGAGAAAATAAGTTGCAAGAATATCATTCATCTGTTGACTAAAATTGCACCATTATTTAGTTATTAAAATTTAAAAAGAACATGAAGGGTGGAAAAAGACAAGAAGTGAGAGTGAAATCGAAATAGCGAGCATATCTAAATCTATGAAATCCCAATGAAATGGAGTTGTTATTTTTTAAAAAATAAAAATTATATTATTTATTTTACTGGAAATCATCCAGCAACAATTGATAACTAGATGCTTGCCCCGGGCAAATGCCCGGGGACGTCCTTCCACCTAATAAATTGATATGTAAATAATCAAAACTGATTTGGAATGAATTTAGTTTTTTATGAAGATAATTGATTGACCAAAAATGAATTTTTTTGAAAGTCCTAAATAAGTGGAGAAGGAAAGTTCCATTCACTGTCAAATTCAAAATTTGAATGAACATGGCCATCTGATCTCTTCGTCAATATTATAAATATCTTTTTTATTTTTAAAAGGGGGTGACACGTGGCAGAATAGTTTATGCAATATGGTGCATTTGGAGCCAAAATATTTTTATAAAAAATTGCCACATCAACATCATGTTTTCTGCTTTAATAGGGTAAAAGAGATGAAAAATACAATCGAAACAAAAATACAACTTACAATTAAATTTAATATTATTGTTGTGTTTCTCGTGGATAAACCTATATAGATTTACTCAATACAACGATGGATATATCACGTGCAAGATAATCAATCTGGTCAAGAACATATCTCTAATGATCTGATGAAAGCCCAAAATCATAGATCTATCAAATAAACCTATGATGACTGAATCTTCTTCAACCGCATAATGTGAAGCAACGAATGAATCTACGGACATCGCAGGAACAGTACGGAGGATACCACTAACACTGCAAGAAAAAACTTTACCCTCTCAATAAATTACAATTAATCTGCTGAAGAAACTATATTTTGGGGACAAATCCCACTTAGTAAACGATAAAAAGAAATATGAACTAAGAAAAATCAAATCAATTCCCCCATCAACCCATGAGGGAAGATGGAGGAAATAAAATTCTTTTTTTTGAGAGGCGGCTAGGGAATGAGAGAATAGATAGAGGAGATATCATTTTTTAAAATCCAAATGGAGTTGTTATTGTCGCAAAACAATCGGTCGTAAAATTGATTTTCCAATTTTTTCAACAAGTCTCCTTGGACTTTCTTTTAATACTTAGTTACAACATGCTTCAAGTAAATCCTTCAACTTGCTCTCTTCAAGATTTAGTGTCAATATCATCTTTATTTTATTTTTATTTTTTTTTGATACAATTCTTTCAAACACCTAAGCTATTAAATGACTGAGTCTGGGAAAAGGGAAGTTACTACTAGCCTAGTCTAGTGGGGGACGACTTTACGACTGCAACGACTCTTTTCGCGCGTCCATCAGGTGCTTAAAGAGTTTCAAACTGCAACCTGCAAAGAGTAACAACATTTTGCTGTCGTGGGGTTTCAAGCTCGAGATTTCCGGGTTGGATGCCAAGCCTTTTAGCACATAGGGCACCCCTGCTGGCAACATCATCTCAGTACTAACTTTGATGATTTCTCTTGAAATTTGAGTTGCACTTTTTGAACGGGAAAAAGAAAACAAAAATATTTTTTACTCAATGTACGGAACTCGTGAAAATGTGATTTCATATACTAGCCTACAAATATATTAATGCATGAATTAGCGTCTTTTATTCTTCAGAAAACTTGTGGTCAATCCCTTCTGCTAATAATATAATCACGAATTAAAGAAAATCACAAGGGATCATATCCGTCCAGAGCCATGACATTTGACATATGAATCCAAACAATTCTGAAGTGCACTTCGCCTATAAATTAAGGAATTGAAAATTCAATCTTTATATCTCTAAAAGATCAATATATATTTAACGAATGATTAGGATGACATCTCAAAACTTTTTAGAATTGTTTTTGACATAGCTACCTTTCACGTAAAGTGATATGTATATGCACAATTTAGATTTAAACCAGGAAAAAAACTAGTCTGGTATTCATAAGATATGTTAATTGACAAAACTATTTAATATCAGTTACAACTTAAAATCTTTATAAAATAAACACGTTCCATACTCAGCGTCTTAATTTCTTCTCAAGCAATTCTCACATTGTATGTAACATAGTAACATGTTGACCAATTAACAACTCACATTTCTTTTCCTCCAAAATCACAACTTCCATACCAGTCACAACTATGCTGATGTATAATGTTATGTAACTCACTCTTTAAGAAATCTGATTCGTGACTAATGGTTTGGGTCTTGTACGATTAATCGTCTTATATTAAGAGTTCGATTCTTATTACCAGGCACGGGATCTTCTGCGCCACTTTTCTGTGACACTCTCTGTTACACAATTCAATTATTTTTATAATTAATATAATTTATGTTAATTCATTTACCATAGACACATACTAGTAATGTATATAATTTTCATTGTGATTTTATTTTTTTTATGAAAATCAAAATAAATAGGCCCTAACCCGAAAAAAGTGAACCCTACTTCTAAAACATATAATTTGGAAAATGATCACGAATGGTGTAAATATTAACGTAAATGATAAAATTTATACGACGTTATTGAATGGTGCAACAGGGAGTGTCACACAATGTAGAAACCAAAAATAATTAACAACAGCAATTTGAAGGAAAAACCACAATTAATAAGCCATCAAAACATTTGATCAAAACATGTACTGCCAAACCCAATTAATTAATCAAACACAAAAAACCAATCACCACTCCGGCCTTGCGCGCCGCACTACACCAACAAAAGCAAGACTCGTACTATTTTTTTTTAACCCCAACTAAAGCATATATATAGGTCGGCTAGATATTCCTTAAACTCTATATAAATAGGAAATTATAAAAACAACCCTAAATATAATAATAAACTTAGTTTAATTATAACATTGCCTCCCTTAAACTAAGTTTCCTCCATTCACCATGCCGAACATATTTCTCAACTTCACAAATGTCTCTAATTTCAATGCCTTTGTAAAAATATCTGCAACTTGATCTTCAGTCTTGCAATAGTCAACAACAATTTCCTTTGTACGTACCAAATAAAAAATGAAGTGAAATTTGATGTCAATATACTTAGTACGACCATGATAAATCGGATTTTTAGTCAAATCAATAGCTGACTTATTATCACATAATATTGTGGTTGGACCTTCTTGTTTGTGCTACAAAAAACCAAGCATTCTCCTCAACCAAATTACTTGAGTGGCACTATTAGTTGCTGCAACATATTCTACTTCTGTTGTTGACGATGCTATCACTGGTTGTTGTTTCAAACTCCATGAAAAACAGCAGAACCAATAAAGAAAGCATAACCAGAAGTACTTTTCTTCTCAACTGTATCACCAGCATAATCACTGTCAGTGTATCCAACCAACTCAACTGATTCGTTATTTGAGTACAAGATACCATCTCCCTGTGTACCTTTAATGTATCTCAGAATTTTCTTTGTTGCTTGTAAATGAGATTGACGAAGATTTTCCATAAACCTACTGATCAAGCCAACACTGTAGTTAATATCTGGTCTTGTGGAGGTCAAATATCTCAAACTTCCAACCAAAGTCTTAAAGTAGGTTGGATCTACAAAATTTTCAGACTTATCTTTCGTCAACATCAACATCTCTTCTGCAGGAGTCAAAATGGCATTTGCTACATTCATCTTAAACTTCTTCAAAACATCACCAGCATACTTCCTCTGAGAAATGAAGAAGCCGCAATTAAGCTGTAAAACTTCAATTCCAAGAAAATAGGACGTAAGACCCAAATCTATCATCTCAAATTGTCTACCCATAGCCTCCCTAAATTTTGTCATCATCTTCTCATCATTTTTTGTGAAAATCATATCATCAAGATATAAACACACAATAGTTATGTCACCGGTTTTTAAGGACTTGACATAAAGAGTGTGTTCATACGGACATCTTTTAAAACCACTATTAAAAAAAAAGTGTCAATACGTGTATACCATGCCCTTGGAGCTTGTTTCAAACCATACAATGCTCTTTTGAGTTTGTAAACCAATTCCTTATTCCCTTTCTTGACATACCCAACAGGTTGCTCTACATAAACTTCTTCTTCGAGTACACCATTCAAGAAAGTAGATTTAATATCCATTTGATGAATTTTCCATTTGTTCTGAGCAGCTAGAGAAATTATCAAATGAACTGTATCAAGTCTTGCAACTATTGCAAATACTTCAAAGTAATCAATTCCAGGCTTCTGCTTATATCCCTTCACTACCAATCTTGTTTTGTACCTATCAATCTGCCCAGTGGACTTATATTTTGTCTTGTACACCCACTTCACCCCAATGGGTTTCTTCCCGCTAGGAAGATCAACAAGTTTCCAAGTATTATTCTTCTCTATCGTACGTATTTCTTCATCCATTTCTCTTACCTAATTTTCATTTCTTACAGCTTTAGTAAAATCAACCGGATCACAATCTGCAAATAAGGCAAAATTGACCATATCTTCATAAGTCAAACCATCAACTTCACTTCCCACAACACAATCTTGTAATCGGGCTGGTAATCTTGTTTGTCTTCGTGGGCATTCTTGAGACACTGGAGGACTCATACCAGACTGTTGATTAGTTTCTTGATGTTGATCATGCACATCTTCTTCATGCTCGTCAAAAGTGACGTCTCTACTAACAACAAACTTCTCAGTCTCCAGATTATACAACTTATATCTTTTAGTCTTAAAGCTATATCCCAGAAAAATACATTTTTCAGCCTTATCATCCGGTTTCTTTCTAATAGCATCAGTTACATGAGCATAAGCTACACAACCGAAGACTCTGAGATGGGAGACATTGGATTTCCTTCCAGACCAAATCTCATATGGAGTCTTTCTTTGAATTTCTCTTGATCGGCACCTATTCAAAACATAAACTGCACATGCAACCACCTCAGCCCAAAATTCTCTGGGCATATTTTTTGCTTTCATCATAGATCTCACAGATCTCACCATATCCATTATAGTTCTATTCTTCCTTTCAGCAACACCATTCTGTTGAGGAGTATACCTTGCTGCCATTTGATGCTTAATCCCATGCTTCACTAAGAAATCATCACAAATTGTATATTCAGTACCTCTATCTGTCCTCAACGTCTTAATGAAATAGCTACTCTGCTTCTCAACATAACTCTTAAAACTTTTGAAATTTCACAAGCATCATATTTCTGCTTCAAAAAATAGATCCATGTCTTTCTGCTAAAATCATCAATGAAAGTAATAAAATACTTATTACCTCCACGAGAAGGAACCTCAACTGAACAAAAATATGAATGTATGAGTTCCAACGGCTGCCGTGCTCTTCAAACATTTCCCTTTGGAAAAGGATCCCTATGCTTCTTTCCAAAAATGCAAGGTTCACATTGTCTAGCAGAAAAATTCAATGGTGGTAATCCAGAAACTACATTATTCCTAGCAATGAATTGTAAATCGCCAAAATGGAAATGCCCAAACCTCATGTACCATAACGAAGTATCATCAAACAATGTGGCACTCAAACAAGGTGCATTAGCATAATTCAAAGTGATTGGAAATAATCTACGAACCATTTTTACCTCTGCAATAATTCGCCCATATGAATCAAGAATGGTACAAACTCCATGTTTAAAATTCAAATCATACTTTTTCTCTTGCAACTGACCAAGACTCAGCAAATTATGAGGCATATTAGGAACGTAAAAGACACCACCAATATAACTCAGCTCTCCATTTTTCAACATAATAAGAATATGACCTTTGCCCAAAACAGGTAAAATTTGATTATTTCCAAATCTCACTGTCGCTTTAAAAGATTCATCCAACTCTGAAAAAATCTCCTTCTTTGCAGTTATATGATTACTACATCCCGAATCGACATGCCAATCCGAAGCTTTGCTTTCTTGAGCAATATGAGCATAAAATAAGATTGTCTCACTATCTTCATTACCAGTCTCAACTATTTGAGCACGACCATCACTATTATCACCATAATTATACCAACAATCTCTTCTTATATGATCGGTTCTCCCACAATTATAACATTGGATATTTTGTCTATCAGGCGCAAAACCATTACCTCTACCACAGCCTCTGTAATTACCTTGACCTCCACATCCACGGCCTCTCAAGTTCTGTCCACGAGCTTGAGCCTGAGCATGTTCATGATTTTGATCATACTGAACCTGGTAAGTCTGCAAAGGAATTTGGGGTTGCTGCTAACTCTGAGTTTGGACTTGCATGCCTTTTCAACAGGTTCATCAAGTTTTTTTTTATTAATCCTATTTTCATGGAGAATTAATGAACCATGCAATTTTTCAATTGTCATCTTTGATGTCTTTCGTCTCCTAAATCACAGCTACAACATATATAGTCAAATTTTAAAGGTAAAGTTATGAGTACTTTTTCAATAAAAGTTTCATCTTCAGTAATATGCCCATTATGCTTCATCTCGTTCTTAACCTCAATCAACCGAGAGAAATATGCATCAATACTCTATGTCTTCTCCATCTTACAAAATTCAAACGTTCTTTTTAGTATAAGCAAATTACTCTTCTGAACCTTTTCCACACCACAATACGATTTTTCCAAAATATCCCATGCCTCCTTTGCTGTTTTTGCAGTAGAAATTCTCCTAAACACAGACATATCAATAGCTTGATGTATCTAGACAATGTCAAGCTATCTCTTCTCTTTACGGCCTCATCAGCGTTTGCGGCCATCTCTTCTTTAATGTGTTTCAACAACCCAAACGCATTAAGATGCGTTTCTATCTGAATTCTCCAAAAATTATAATTTTGCCTTCCCAATAATTTTGGAAGTAAACACGTAATATTTCGATCCGCCATGATCGTTGGATCTGAACCCAACTGTGGTACCAGATATAGAAGTTAAAAATAATTAATAGCAGCAGTTTGAAGGAAAAACCACAATTAATAAACCATCAAAGCATTTGATCAAAACATATACTGCCAAACCCAATTGATTAATCAAACCACAAAAAACTAATCACCACTTCGGCCTTGCGTGCCGCACTACACCAACAAAAGCAAAACCCGTATTACTTTTTTTAACCCCCAACTAAAGCATATATATATATATATATATATATATATAGATAGAGGTTGGCTAGATATTCTTTAAATCTTATATAAATAAGAAATTATAAAAATAACCCTAAATATAATAATAAACTTAGTTTAATTTTAACACACAAAAATGGCACAAAAGATCCTGTGCCTTATTATCAATCAAGAAAATAAACAATTGTAAAGGGAAATAAGTAATTTCATTTAACAATTTTGTGAAAGAAACAATAAACATGCACTTCAAGACCCAAACAACTCGTATAAAGTTTAGTATCACCACCTTCTCTACTAACATGAGCCGGAAACTGATCACACAAATGTACTTTTCGTGACATGGATAGTTAATATCTTTATATTATGCATTATAAAATTCAATAAATTAGGTATGAAACTTGGAAAAGCTTTCCAAATGCTGCTAAATAATAAATACATACGGCTACGCAAGTTGAAAACTATTAATAAGCTACCAAATAAATCATACTTATAGTAGCTGCAATAGTTTGTAAAGAACGTAATGTGTGTGGTACATAGAGCTAGCTAGCCAAGCAAGTTTCTCTTCCTATTACTAACTTTATGCTGGAGTGCTAAATCTAAGAAATCAAGTTTGCAAATAAGAGGAAGAGCAGAAATATATATATATATATATATATATATATTTATATATGTATAGTTGGCAATGGCGGAAAATTGGAAATTCAAGTATCCAAAGTTCCAAAAGGTATAGATTAATTGGTCGAGATCTTGACTTTCCACTTGTAATGTTAGGGTTTGAACTTGAACCGTTGTAGCGATCACAGGCAAATTTTAGGTGATTAGCGCGGGTTTTGTGGACTTAAATCTCGTTTTAATAGTAGTGCCTGTATAAACCATGAAGTCGTAATGCAGTCTGCTAATATTCGAAAAACATATATAAATGAAATAGGTCCTAACTATCCCACTAAAAACATAATGCATCAATCCTATCCTACGTATAGTTTCCACCAAGAAACCAACAAACTTTCATTAATACGGTTATTTTTAAATAGGGTTTCAGGATTCTGAAGTTCATATTTTCCTTTCTATCTTAAGGATTTTATTACATGACAGTGCAACAAAGCAGTGGATCAACAAATTGATCAAGGTGACTAATCCACTTATGTTTACAATTAAACGAAAATAATATTAGTCTCTATTATTGTCGAGGTAAATTGAGAAACATATTTTTTTCTTTTGCATTTTGGGGAAAAAAAACATTGGATTATAATATAATCCTCCCTCCGTCTCACTTTCAGTACAATTTGAACTAGAAATGAAAACTAAAATTAGACAATAATTATGGGAAGGAAGGAGTACTATTTTTAGTACAAGTTTAAAAATTTAATGTGGACTATTTTTTTGGAACGAAGGTAGTAGTATGGACAATGAGAAAGTGGTATCGTGGAATTGGACAAAATAGAAACAAAATCCGAGGCCCGGGATGGATGTTAAAGCTCCCGACCGTCAAAGGAGTCAAACAAGCGAACCCTTCGCCGACTGCAACGCGGTCGTCTCATCTGTCCATGATAGCTCCAATTTACTAGACTTTTTAGTTTTTACCCTATTATTCATATCCTTAATTTTATTGTTAAAAAATACTAGTATCAATGTATTATAAGCAGAAATCATTTTCTATCTTTCTTTTTTCTCCTTTTTGTGTGTGTCGTAAATGTGTTCGTTGCTTTTTCTTGAAGCATTATTATCGTAATCCCGGTGGATATTTGTTTAAAATGTTAGCCCTTCAATGTACCTAATGGAATGTGCCTTAATGTTAATTTAGCACACACAAACAATTAAAAATTACAACCGCGACAAATTTTACAATAATTAAAATGAAGGAAGCTGGCAAACCTCCTTTACCCCCCTCCCCCTACATATGACTAACTATAAATATAATTAAGAGAGTTTTGCCGAATCTACTTAATTCGAATTCGGATTAGTTAGAATAATAATTTCAATACTGAATGTATAATACAGAAAAATTTATAATTAAGAAGCAGAGATCCTAAAGTAATGATAAACCCAAAACATGGAAACAATACAAAACAACTATATATGCCACTAAAGATTTTGAATGTAATATTTTTTGTGTTACATTTCTTGTAATTAATTGATCACTTGCATATCTTATTCATCAATAATGATGTTTGCAATAACTTTAGACAGTAATGTTAAGTAGTACTTGAAATTAGACATATTCTTTTGTTGTTTGCAAGATAAAAATATCATGTTCATCGACAAAAAAAAAATGAAAAATCATGTTCATCGACACTACCAAATAAACCCCTCATTCAGTGAGTCCTGTTTTAAATTTTCGATCGACGATTTGTTCAACACAGTACCAGAAAACGCGATCAGGTTTGCAGAAAACTATGAGAAAAAAAAAAATCGTACTTTTTACACGGATCAGAACATGTTCTGCGAAATGATTCTTTTGAAATTTTGGCCCCGGATCCTATAAGCTGCCAACTGTTACCATTGAACTTAGTTTATTAATTTTTGGACAATCAAACAGGAAACTAACATCGTACATATAAATCTTTGCCTTAAAATCTCTTTCAGATCCAATCAAATCAAGACTTGAAACACAAAACAAGTTGTTACTTTCATACTAGTTCGTCAATGCACACCAAACTTGTTGCCCCTAGCCCTTAAGAAAATTCAAGTTTCTATTTATAGTTCAATATGAATTAATTTAAATGTGTTATGTGCGATCGAGTATGTGTAACGTTTTTTTTTGTTTTGTTATGAAAATTAGTTTAGACACAATTAAGTGGCAACATGAGCTTCGAAATTTGGGACAGCGTAGGCTAGAGTTTAGGGCGGTTTCAGACACCAAACTGACCATCACCCGACATTTGTGCTCTCGATCCTCTTCTCTATATATACATTTCATCACCAAATCAATTCATCCCAAACTACAACAAAAACAAACTGAATTCCAATTTACTCTTCCAAAATTATACTACTAAAAACTTCTCCTTTTTTTCTTGTTTTGAGCAAAAGCCCTTTTCAATCTTTTGACCTTTTAACATCCAAATTATGAGCAATCTTGATTCTCAAAGACAACCACAACAACAACAACAACATCAAGATTCCTTAAAATTGAGGTGGCAAGAAACCCAAAAGAAGACCAACAACCTATACACCAAACTACTTAGTGGTACTACTACTACTACTACTACTACTACCACCAGAAAGATGCAAATATTTCCCGGTGGATTCGACGACGATCTTGTTGTGTCCACGGTGGTGCCGCCTGTCACGGTGGTGCTCGAGGGACGGTCGATATGTCAGAGAATCAGCCTTGAAAAACATACCAGCTACCAGAGCTTAGCCAAGGCACTAAGACAAATGTTCGTAGATGTTAATAATGATGGTGATGGAAATGAACCAGTCACATCATCAGATGGGAGTGATCAACTTGATCTTTCAAATGCAATTCCAGGTCATCTCATTGCTTATGAAGACATGGAAAATGATCTGCTTCTTGTTGGTGACCTCAAATGGAAGTAAGTAATTAAATTATTTTTTTACAACCTCTTTATTCCTAAATGAATGCATAACTTGATTAATTATTCTTACATTGAGTGATCTAACAAAAAGAAAAGTAATTTAGAAATGTGGGTTTTTTGTTTCCTCATCTTTTAAACTTCTGTCATGGTTTCCTAGCTACTTGGTGTTCATCTTTGTTGCTTTTTTCCTTTCCTTAACCATGATGGTTGATTTTGAGCAGAAGTTAATTTTTAGTCGCACATCTTAATTTGAGATATATATATATATATATATAATATTTTTTTATTTGAAATTGAAAGTTAGCTTATAAGGGTTTTATTTAGCTTTCTATTTAGACACTGTCATGTTCATTTTATTCAATTTTAACTTCTGTATGTGGCTCTTGATATATATATTTTTTTAAATGCAGTGATTTTGTTAGAGTGGCAAAGAGAATCAGAATACTGCCAATAAAAGCAAATTCAAGGAAGAGAAGGGTAGAGATTTAATCAACAACAGCGGCTGCACAAGAAATTTTAGATCGCAATATTGAGGAGTAACAAAAAGAAATACTCTTTATGTTCAACGAAAACAATCGTTTTGAAACAGAACCGATAACTGTCCATCAATCTGTGCCTCTATGCAAAATGTGATAGTATACAAAATTGTTGTACTTTCACTTATTGTTGTTGAATAAAATCGACCTTTTTCTGACCTTTTCTTCTCTTCGTTTCTTTTTAATGCGATGCTCAACGGAAATATATATAATCTATAGACTACTTTTGATGTACAAATTAAGGAGGCAACAATGTCGTAAATCTTAAAATATTCCTTGCATTCCAAGAATATTATCAAGCGTGTTTTCTAATTTAATGTAATAAATAAGACAACAATTTTTGAACGATCAAGGAGTATTTTTATATATGAATGAATCATCTAACTCAGTAAATAGTGGTACATGTAATTTGGATGATCCACCTACAAAGCTGAGAGAAGAGTAGACACAACAGCTACTCCAACAGCTTCCGAAGCAGTAATATCAATTGTTTAATTGAAGTAGTACGCATACATTTTCATATATGAGATCATCTTCACTGTATAGTTCACGAGGAAAATGATCTCGAACAGCTCCATCAGCCCACAGAATGAATCCATGTTTTTTTTTTTTCATGTTATCTTTCAAATAGCATAGCACATTAATCTCATTTTGTTTTTTTTTTTATTTTATAAATGTACAGTTCGTGTCTGAAATTACTTTCTCGATTAATTCACATTTGAGCCGGTATTATACCAAAGAAATCCCTCTCATACCACTTTTTTTTAAGATGTCAAGCTTTGCATTTGCACACATAATTCACAAACAGCTAGATTTAAATCGAAAATGAAAAAAGGTTTACCAAGTGTATTTATTGAATTTGTATGCCGTCCTTTTCAAAACGATAAAGAAAAAAAAAAGCGGTTACTTTTATGAGATGGATGACCTATATAATTTGTGTGCAAAAAGATGATCCCAGCAAATCCTACTACAACATTAATCCATGGAGTATGTTGTTAATGCTACACAAAACAAGATGTGATCATACACCAATAACAAGATGTCCTTCAAAGGATCCTTCCATAATCCTTCAAATGTGGATCTTGGTGTGGAAAACCAGGAAAAGAGTCTAGATCACAGAGAAGTAAAAAGAGTTACCCGAGATGAGGCTACATATATAAATACTAGTACCACGTTTTACACCTCCTGCATCATTCACTAAAATTTTAACACTGAAACCTCGTAGATTCATTCAAAAGCGGGTTAGGATGTTAGGAGTAACTTTTTACATATAAAAAAGTATAATTAATTGAAAAAATGTGAACATATTATATATAATTAGTTTAAGAAGTGCTGTAAGATTTTATGGTGTAAGAGATTCTTAACCTACAAAAATATGTCTTTTTACATCCATTGGATTTTCTTAACACTTTTTGTGCTATCTTCAATAGTAGTTTAACAAGTTGGTAAGTGAACTTTTTGTCTAAATATCAAAATCCTAACAAGATGGTAGGTGAATTATGATGAACAACTGTATCATCAATTATTTAACAGTACTACCAAAAAAAAAAAAAAACTACAACACGAAAAACTTCAATAATATTACTCCCTCTGTTCCAAAATAAATGTCATTCTAGAGTTTGTACATAGTTTAATAAAACATTAAATAAGGTAACTAAATTACTAGAATATCCTCAACTAACCCAATTAAAATAAATGTTCACCAATAATATTATTTCTTTTGAGGGTATGTTTGGAAATTTTTGACAAAAAATGCATTAGAATCCGAAAATGACACTTATTTTGGAATTTCTCCATTTTACCAAAATGACACTTATTTTGGAATGGAAGGAGTACTTTCGTTGCAAAATTATCTAAATTTACACTCATTGATTTTAGGGAGTGATGAGACAGCCGAAGAACGAGATCGGTGAAATAGGATTGATATACAGTCTAATTTCAAAGTCAGAGAGAATTGAAGGAGCTCAAATAAACATTGATCTAAGCAATTAATTCATTTCCATACATGTAAAGGGTAGAGCTGTTCTCTCCAATACTCCCTTCGGTCCTTATTATAAAGTATTTTGATTTTATCCTAAATTTCACCTAAAATGTCTTTTTAATTGAAATAAAAACTTTAAAATTTTTTTATAATAATTAAAAGAACACAACGAATATAAAAATATATTTTTAATATTTTTTTCAATTAAAAAAATATCTTAAATAAAATGTAGGACCAAATCAAAATACCTTATAATAAGAACCGGAGGGAGTAGTATCGTATCATAGACATTGGCTGCCGCCGCCGCAAGCAGGCTTTTTGGGTTGTCCTGCGCCGTCGGTTAGAATATATATGCTGCTGGGAATGTCGGCTAATTCGGTATTCATAAATTTAGACGACGGAAGACATTAATTCTTTCGATTGTTACACAAAATCAAGGATGAAGCAAGCCTTATATGCACTTTTTGGGTCCCAAAATTTTCCAGTTTATAATTTTATTTTTTTGGTTCAAATTATACTAAAAGTAAAAATCCAAACTAGATAATAATTTTGAGACAAAAGAATCACTTTTTCCCGTTTAAAAAAACAAAATCCTTTTCATGTTCGAGCCACTTCAAATAGATTTTTCTAGTTGATCACATTATTCACATTGGCTCCTGACCTTCTGAATTGAATTGAAAATGTCCATTCCGATTTGTGTTTAAAAAATAGTACTCATTCATGCAAAAAGAGTTATCATCATTTTGGTCCGTCATCTTGAAAAACGTTCAATTAAGTCCTTATCTCTCAATTCATATCCCCGATCAACTTCTTTCACTATTCACATTCCATTTTCACAATAAACCCCTTACCTTTTGAAACACAATAAAATGAGTAAGATGTAAAAAGAAATAACCAAAAAAAAAAAGTTCATACAAGATTTAATTTTTTCTTTTAAAGAAAAAAAGAAAGAAGAAAAAGAGTTTTGTTTACACTAGAATAGAGAGCTTCGAAAGCAACAAAACTAGGAAAAAGGAGGACAAAGAACCAAAATTTACTGATGTAGCTGTACTGGAATTTAATGCTAACATCTAACTCCTTTCCTCACTAACTGTGGGGATCGGCTCAATTAAATACAAAGAACGGAGGAAAAAAGCAAAATACTAAACATTAAAAGAGCCGAGCAAAACTTTGCCATTGCATCTCCCAGAAAAAACGGCACTGTAACGAATTTCGAAGCGAATAGCCCTGCAATGGCAGTCATCAAAAGCATACTCTCACCTCTTTTTCTCGGCTTTAATCAATTGAGGGTATCTTTCCCCAACGTATGCATTTTCTCAACCCCATCTGATGATAGCAGAACCCCATGTAAGGCCAGCCCCAAATCCAGCAGCCGCAATAGTATGCCCTGGCCGCACTTTACCGCTTCTAACGGCTTCATCTAATGCCAACGGAATGGAAGCTGCGCTTGTGTTACCATAATTTGCCAAATTAGATATAACCCGCTCGGATGGGACATCTAAGCGTGTTGCAACTGCATCAATAATCCTTTGGTTTGCCTGCATATAAATAATCCTGATTAGTGCTACTCTATGGGGAAGAATCGACACAGACGCAAGCAAGATTCTTCCTGGAATTGCAGCAGTGATTGTTTAGGAGTTAGGATATCAGCGCTAGTGAAATTTTGAGTCTTCTATTGCGATACCTGATGAAGCAGCAACCAGTCAATGCTGGATGCTGGAAGCCCAGCTTTTCCCAGAGCTGATTCAATCGACTGTGGCACAACACGAACAGCAAAACGGAAGACTTCTTTGCCATTCATTTGGATACAGGAATATGCGGGATTTTTGGTGTCAAAACCAAGAACTGAACCATTTGAACCCAGTCCATGATCAGTCTCATTTCCTTTGATGCCAGCATTCAAGTGCCTGCAAAAGACTATTATCATTTACTGCACAACAGAATCAGAAACATACATGATAAATTCTAAGATAGGAAATGCCCACCTTTGACCATCACCATCACTATGCATGTCAAATGCAAATAAACCGTCTTCTTCACCATCACAGGCCTACATATGTGTGCAGATGTTAGTATGGATGCAAAAGTACAAAAAAGAGCAGTAAAATGAATGATACACAAGAACTCAAGGAGAATTTAACAAGAGATAGCTCCATCATTAAATTAGTCCATCCGCTATTTATAAAACATTGTTCATTTATCACATTTTTAAGCACAAAGCATCAGTATTCAAGAAACAGCTAAAAAAGAGCCGCCAACAGCAAATTATCATTAACTCAAATTACATGAGTTTGAACCATTGTGTGACAAGACAACCCATCTCTGACATGATACTAGCGGTAACTGCAGGAAAAGGTTAACTCAGACAGTCGCGGGTCATATCACAGCCAACCATGAAGATAAGAGGTAAACAAGCAAATTCAAGGAAAACCTTCAAGGAACAATATTTATGTACACTTGTCGGGAGTCAAAAAGCTTTCACATAGATGGTTATTTTTAAATTGGGAGGAATCTATGTTGACAGGAACAAAAAGGGAAAGAAGAGTTTTAAAAATTTAGGAGCAATGTTAGATCAATTTCTTTCCTGTATATCTTTGAATAATCAGTGCTTAACATCAGGAAAGTTAGGCCCTATTTGCATTAGAAAGACAGAATTGACAATATTTAGAGTAAGATTGAGTGGATTAGATGAAATACTAATAACCACACCATTTTGTGAGCTGGCCGGCCTTATTCAATATTCACAGAAGAGAACTAGAGGTAGTCTTAGCATGATGAAACGGTAGGTCAGTTGTTCAATGACTGACATAGAACAAAACCCAGGCAAGAAAAGTAGAAAAAAGAACAAATGCATCTAACAGAGTCTGGATTAGAAGCACTAGTATGTACCCAAGTAAAAATAACAGTATCTCTACAACAGTATATTAAAACTAATTGGGCTCCTAAGCAAAGATATGCATAGCTGACAACTAAACAGGATACAGAAACTTGTACTATTTGCATTTGCGCCAGGCATGCAGATGCAGCATTTGATTGATAATTTGGATGACTGCTTATAATAATATTTAGACAGATTATATTTAAGAAAAGGTTATCACTGGGAGTCGGTGCACACACAAAAGGATCCAAAAAATAATAATACCTGTACTAACACAGCACCAGCCGCATCACCAAAGAGGATACAAGTTCCTCTGTCAGTCCAATCAACATAGCGAGAAAGAGTATCAGCTCCAATCACAAGAACATTGTTAAAGCCTCCACCTACAGCATTTCAGAGCAACTTTTAATTGCAGCTTTAATAGATTGTAATCTTTAAGAACATAATCCAGGGTTTACCTCTAATATAGCTGGCAGCTGAAACAAGGCCCAACACGAATCCACTACAAGCTGCAGTGATATCATAAGCTAGAGGATTGTTTTTGCAACCAAGAGCTTTTTGGATCTGATATGCAAAGGAAATAAAGGGTAGGCGTAAGCACAAATTTCTACTTTCTCCATATTGACAAAACTTATAAGAAAGAGTAAGTTTGTGAGCAGGATCTGAAATTATAAATTTCAAATAGAAAATGTGTAGCAGGCAGGATGAAGAGAGTTTATCCTGTAACACAAATCTACATTGTTGTGTTTGGTCTGGTCTATGGGGAAACAGGATGCGCAGAAAATATATAGATGGTCCAAGCATGCAAGAAAATAGATACAGGGCATAAGGTATAGTATTCTTTACTCGCATGTAAGTATCAAGGTTTCCATCACATTTTCTTTTCAACATTTGAGAAGTTGCAGTGTGAAGTCTTTGCTGGGCACACATTTAGGCTAACATAAATATGGAATGGCATGTATTTGCAGAACCCAGTTTAGATGGCAAATCAGTACCCAGTCATAACTGCCCCAATTCCTCGTGTGTATATCAGAAAGATACGATATCCATCACCCAAACTACAGCAAGGTGCCTACCAGGTACATGATTTACCGATATGACGACTATAAAGTACTTGAATTCAGCTACCTGAAGAACTACTTATACCTGTGGAGCACTGCCAAATAGGTCCTCTGGGGTGGAAGTGCAAAGCAAGATAAGGTCCACATCACTAGGATCAACCTCGGCCATCTCTAGAGCTTTTTTGGCAGCATCAGCAGCCAGACCTGTTAAGCTATCTTTACCTGGAAAGAAATATGACAGATAGAATCTAATTAAATATCATTTTGATTGAAAAATCTATAATGGTAAATGAAAAAAAACAAAAACCATGTAATATGGATACATAAAATGATAATGAATAACTGAGTAAAAAACTTCAAAAAAAAAATTCAGCAAAATTCGAGGAAAATGAGACAAGGGTGAAAGTGAAACAACTAAAAAGCCATCAAGAACAGATACATGAAATACAGCAGTACAACGGCATGTGAAGGCATCCATAAGATAGTGCAAAGTATTCAACGAAGAATGCAAATTAAGCCAGACAAAAGCCAAAGGATAGTGCACACGAGTTGAAGGTATCAAGATGAATTTGCTTATTGGAGGCTAGGGGTTAAAAATGTGGAAACACATTCAAGCTAAGATTATTGGAGCAAAATAGCTTCAGGTCCTGAGACATGCATGCACTCTAGTAATCTGGCAGCTGAATTACCAAGAACTTAAACATCCCAACCACGAACTTTAGAGAGTTGTTTCTGGTCTATTAAAAGTGTAATACAAATGCTTAAAACATGTGGAAACAAACTAAAGCTAAGATTCTAGGAGCAAAACCGCTTCAGGTTGTGAGACGTGCAAGTTCTCCAGTAATCTGGCAGCTGAATCACCATGAAATTCAGAGGGTTGTTTGCAGTCTTTTAAAAGGCTAGAGCAAAGTGAGAGTACAATGCTAATAGACACATGATGATTCGAAGTAATAATATACCTGAAATAACCCTTCTGTTACGAATGCCAGTTCGAGTAGATATCCATTCATCTGAGGTGTCAACCAGTTTGGAAAGGTCATCATTTGAAATTAGAAGACTTGGAACAGCAGATCCACATCCTACAAGTTTGCAACCTTTGCTATAAAGTCTGTAGAAAATTTTATATTTCAGAAATCAATTTAGGACCAAAATGGCAAAAAGAAACAAATAGGACTTTTTTAAGCACAATCCACAGCAAAAAGAGGTTGGATTTAAATGAAAACCAGGAAATTTGGATTCAAATGAATCCCTACTCTAGTGTATCGCAACCTACAAGGATCGCCTTTTGTAATTTTCAGATAGTATACAAAGAGACACTTTAGAGAAATGAGAACTCAATAATGGAAAAGAGCAAACTCTCAAGATCATTGGAACCTTTGATGCGACCAATTCAGGAACAAACATGAAACTAGACTTGGAGGAATTCACAAACAACTTTGGCATTTGGTGTCAGATAGAGATACTAATCTATTGAGACCTTTAGAACAGTTACAAAAAGTAAACATATACCACTTACCTTCTGATTAGACATAATTCGAGTACTCAAATTTCTTGTTCACAGATGTACATTCATATATGAAATAGAGGGTACCATGGGTACTGCTATTCAAAAGTAAATTCTCCTAATATTTATCTGCTAACCATTCTCATAAAATAGTTCCTGAAAGATATAATAAGAATAAAATTCCACAGTAAAATCAACCGGAATGCCTCTGTATGCTTTTCTCGATAATTTCATGCAAATTTTTCAAATATAGAAAACAGATTAATGCTTATTAGATGCTGATCAAATGTCAAAGATGCAAAGAGACAATTCTCCTTCCAGTTTAAAGTCCATGAATGATCGTCTACAGACACAGACAAACACCTCAAAAAGAGGTATTCCCAAGTTTTGAAGATAAATTTCAGATGTCCCTGCAAACATATAGGTCATTGCCTTCTGTTTCATGTACCCACACATTTTCTGAGGTGGCTTACTCAAAATTTATGATTAAAATAGTACTTAAGCTCAGGTCATCAACCTCCACGGTAATCAACATGAGACAAATAGCTTCTTGATGAGTAATTAACCTCTCAAGACAAAGATTATTTCACTGCTCTAAGTCCCATAATTACATGCTGATTTGGCATTCAAGAGTAACCTATTTGTTCAATCAGAATCTATCCAAACAGGCATGCAAGTTTCAAAATACTGCCTCTCATAGATATCCATGGTAATGCAACTTCCAATCCTAATCTAAAAAACACAAGATATATAACTAAGTTGTGAACAAGCCATGGAGCAGAATCCCACAATATGCTTCAGTCTAGCAAGATGTTAGTAACCAATTTCAAGCAAATTGCATGAAAGCCAATGACCAACAACTTTAAACTAAAACAAAGACAAAGAACAGTCTCCTTCTGGTAATGTCCCAATTTGAACTCTGAGCTACCTCAGAACCACAGAACAACATAAACCAATAACAAAATATAAAAATTTAAGAGAAAAATTCACCTGGGCACGGGAGATTGAGAAGGAGAAACTTCCTGAGCACCTTCAATACTGCTGGAACATACAATCCTCTTCGTAGATACACCTTCGGAAAACCAAAACCCAGATCGATAAATCCCTATAGATGCAGAAAACCTCCTCCTAACACCACTAGGCACTACTGGCGTAAACAACCCGGATGCAATTGCCATTTTAATTTGTTCAAACAACTTACAATTAGCAAAAGCAAATGACTATTATTGGGGAAACAAAGTTGAGATCTTTTAGCTAATTGATGTCAGAGAACTAAACACACAATGAGAAAGAGCTAATGAAACAACTAAGGGATTCCCTGTTATTGGAATTCTTTGGAAAAGCAAATTCAATCACGGGGGAAAAAAAGAATAAATTCTTGCAATCTGAATTTACTAAGAGGGACGGACACAACTATACTACGAGGATGTTTACAAAGGGGATGGAACCTAGGAGTATCCGAAAACTGAATGATTGCGTGAACAACGTGGATGGGTGGGCGATTATAGCAAAAACCCAAATTGGAGAAAACTTCTAGGCAAAATCTCTCTTTCAGGCATTTGCACAAACAAATGCCCAACGGATTCAACCACGCCAAAAGCAGAGAAGAAACAGGTCTCAGTTTTTCCACCACAGATGCTGTCACTTCCTAATTAAAAAAGAAAAAAAAATGGGTTTGGTAAAAATACCAATAATTAACCAGAAAAACCACTCAGCAAAAACAGCAACCTTATTCTCGAGATTTGATCATTGTCACGATATATCCACATCTACTTACACAAACACAAACCCAAGCTTTCTGATGTTTTGAGGAGGAATAATAATCAATTTTGTACTGTGGCTTTTGCCACGTAAGCTCAGTTCCACATCTCAGTTGGGTTAAATTTACGTTGGTGTCCTGGATTTGGCGACGTGGATTGGCAGGATCTTGTGTGTTTTGCGGAAAGGAGAAAATCGTCAAATCACAATGGATCATGTGCTGTGGCATCCACCTGCATATTCTGTGCGTTCAATGCAAAGCTGTGGGGCTTTTATTATGATGTCATTAAATAACGTATGTGATTTTTACTTGTAAAAACTTACTTCTAACCAAAATCCAACATGACAAGTTGGGAGTTTGTTTAACTACATTGGACTAAAAAGCAAGGGCCGAATGTTTATCACGAGTGAACACGATTCCTACGTTTTGTTCCATTCTATTTCCAGCATTTCTACACCTTCTGCAACATACATACAGTTTATAACATAGTATCTTACAAGTTCATGAGACACATATGCATACACTACTCGTCCAAATTCGATGCGTTACAAAAAATGCAACACAAAAGTATTGCCTTTCTGATATATCAGTATACTGTAAATCTGTAATTGATTCATACTATATATGCCAGTATGCCACCCACCTCCATTTAGGCTAGATATGTGGTTGAATGTTAACAGTGAAAAAACTGAACTCTAAATTTTACTCAAAGATACATTATTTGATTATATCTAAAATACGTTTCTCAAAAAGAAACAATAGTATACTTTAATCTTTCTGTTTCTGTTTCCTTTTGTGGTCGATTAGGATATTTATGTAGAACCTGTTAAATAAATCTCAAGATTTGAATTGATCGAAATATCTTGATAAGATTCGAGACTGTCGTTATTCGTTAAATCCTGACAAAATGACTTAGGCAAAGATGAAACATGTTTCATTGGTGTTGAATCATGACAACAAGAATACAAGTATGGTATCAAAAGATGATTGTCAGTAAGAGAATGAACTTTTTTGAATTCGACAGGTAGTGATATTCAAATTTATGATAAATGAGTGACATTTTATTCGGTTCTTTATTAACATGCATAGAAAATTCTGATGTTTATATTGTATCAAGTCGAAAACAAGCTATTGCAAATCAAAGATATATGAATGAAAATTCAATAAGAATACCATATTAAAAATAAATGACCTATTTTAGCATCCTCCATCAATTTTTCATTTCTTTAAAAGTTAGCTCTCCCGAGTTATGCTTTCCCCTTAGAGAGAAGTTTCCATTACTGCGAGTTCGATGGAGTCTTCTACATTTGAAAATCCCTTCTCTTATTTTAGGGGAAAATTCTTCTTCTCCACCCTTCCTTTCCCTCTTTGTTTGTGTTTTGGGGTTGTCTCCAAGACTCCAACACACCTGACGAAGGAGATAGAGGCTTAATTAAAAGGAGAAGATGAGTTGATTTCAAGAGGATAGAATACATATATAAAAGATAATGAAGTGATTGATCGAACTAATGTATGTTAGGTCTTTATTTTTTCAAGATAAAAGTAGTTTTGAGTCAGAAAATTTCATTCGTAATTTGGTTATTCTTTGTATCTTTTTCTTCCTTTGGTTGGGTTTTCTTTTTCTCTGTAATTACTGGTTTTATTATAATTTAACTGATTTAATTTAATCTAACAACTATATTAATAGAACTAATTTAATTTAATCTAATACCTATATTAATAAGAGAGTAAAACGGGGATTGTACATAGTATGTATCTAAGGTTATGCAATGAGAACCTTAAGAGAGTAGTTCACAATTTTTTTTTTTAATAAAAAAATTAGACTTCACTAAATTTGGTGGAATTTAACAACTCTAATTGATATAAGAAGTTTCGCTAGTTTAAACATTCTCTACATAAAATTTTGCAAAAGTAACAACAACGACATGAGCTACTCGATTTTGTACTCGGAGAATCCAATACGGATTACTAAAGGATAGTTCATTTAACAAAAGTCTAATCTCAAAACGAATAAGTAAACACATATTTGCACGATTTGTTTCTTCTACGGTGCTATGATTGCAACCTAAGAATCTCCCAGAATCGACAAATTTCGAAGATTAAAACTTTTGAAAATGAACAATGCAAGTATAAGTTCAAATTCGAACCGAATAAGTCTCTTTTTTTAAGGTAAAACTTTACAAACAAATATCAAGGTCTTTAGTTGTTCCTTCAGCGCAAAGGAAATAAAAGTATTAAATAGGTAGTCGTACTGGTTTTCGAACCTTGGTCACTAGTAGTGAGTAAATCACATTTAGTTTTGGACAATTTATGTTGGCCTACACGTCAATTGTGCCAATCAATGTCTAACGTAGTTATGTTTTTTTGTGATTGAGAAAGAGGCTCTATACTTGACAGTAACAGTACGAGAATGTTTAACTAATAGAATATGAGGAGCACAACTAGCAACAGAAAGATACAAATCATTAAATCAATTACCTCGTCTTAATCGTCTTAAAACACGAAATTCCTAATTGAGAAAATGAGGGCAAAAATTGCAGTTAGCTTTGTGTTTGGGTATATTTTGACTTTCATAAATTTATCTTGGTGCTTCAAATTTGACTTTTCTCAATAATAGAAATCTAAAAATTAAACTATTATATTTGGTGGATGTGAAACTCCGGAAAATGTTACTCCCTCTTGTCTTTAATATAAGATATTTTTTATTTGTCATAAATTTCTTCTAGTATGTATTTTTAATAGATAAAAAATCTTAAGTATATATTTTTACATTCGTTGTGTTCTCTTGATGGTTATGAAACGTTTTTAAAGTTTTTTTGTTAATTAAAAATTCGTACTAAGTGAAACTTAGGATAAATTAAAATATCTTATATAAAGATCGGAGGGAGTACCTGCTATCATTACTGACACATTTTTATTTGGACTACTTTTGAAACCTTCAACTGCTTCTCCTGAATTTTAATAGAGAATAATAAAGATATTAGTAATGAGCTTTTAAAAGAGTATTTGGCGATGGTAAATGTGGCAGACTATGTAGGTGGATTATTCTGAGCTAGAATTGTGAATATTTTTTTGTTGGGCTTGATTAATGGGTCGAATAAGGTAAGACAGACTATGTTCAAATGTCATGGTCTTTAATGTTTCGTGGGTATCATTTCAGAGGTACTCTAAGCAATTGATGTGCTGCAAAGATTCTTACAAATAAGGCCAAGAAATACTCTCAAATACTCCTTCCATTCACAAATAGATATCATTGGAGGAAAAATCAAATATTTCAAAATAAATATCGTTATCACAAATCGAGGCATTTTTTGTCAATTTTTTTTTAATATTATCCTTACATTGAAAATTATAGTGATGTTTAATGTAGAATTGTATTAGAACTGAATTTTATTAAGACTACAATCGAATTAAGAATAAATGAGGGTATTATAGTATTTTAACAATATAATTATTACCTCCTTAAAGTTTGTGAAATTTCTTCAGCGACATCTATTTGTGAATGGAGGGAGTATAGTCTAATGAGAAATCCAAAGAAGAAATTACACTTTTGGCCACTAGGGATGTTTTTTTGTACTACGTACTAAATTGCTGGTTTCCAAATTATGGATGTTCAATTTTCTATAGGAACATCATCAAGTAAGCTGTAAGTACTTATTAGTGATAGTTTGCAATCATCATCACCATTCGTTACTTGTTTTTGAAGGTATCAATGGGAAATGGATAGACTGACGTGATGGCCAATTACATTTTTTGTTAAAAAAAAGTATAATGAAAAAGGTGCAAAATCTTATAATTGAAATTTTTAACATTTCATTTGTGAAAGATATCAATAACATCAATTGTGTTGTAAACGACGGACGTAAACTAAAGGGGGGAACATAAAAAAGCTAGTATTGTACTGAACCAGATATAGATGACTTATAAAAGAAGCATATATGTTAATGAAAGTGCTTGTAACTTGTAAAAAACAAAAGGCGGTTTATCAATTATTCAATTATGAGTTTTACACGGTTCTCCTGACTGTACACCTCCGCTCAATTGAAGGGTGAAAATTGATTATAAAAAAAAAAAAACTCTCTGCCCTTATTATAATCATTTTGATTTGTCCTATATTTTATTTATTGTATTTTTTTTAATTAAAAATAAAATTTTAAAAATATATTTTCATATTTATTCTGTTCTTCTAATTATTGTAAAGTTTTTAAGGTTTCATTTTCAATTGAAAAAATATTATAAATAAAACTTAGCACAAATCAGAATGCCTTATAATAAGGTTAGGGAGGAGTAATAATAGTAAATAAAAAAACATTGTCAAAGCAATATAAGGATGGGATGGAGTTTCAAAGGTGACATGAACGTTAGAATAATGGCTGCCGTATTTCTGTATCCTAAAACAACTATCAGCTTATTTACGATGTGCATAATCTCCCCACCTCTCTTTATTAAAAGGGAAAATGGAAAATGGAGAAGAAAATAAAAAAGAAATTATACATACTGCTAGGGTTTTGAGAGAAATGGGCGGCTGAGAGAATTGGGCTTATGGAAGGAGGTGACATTAATTATTTAAAATCTGTTTTTTTTTTTCCATATAAGTTTCACAATGTAACTAATCCCATAAACATTTAACCAATTAAAGTTAAGTTCAATTATAAATTTATTTCATTGATTATTACAATTTTTTTTTTAAAAAAAGAGCAGTAGTGAATTAGGTACATAATGCCTTGAGATGTCACTCTCTTGGAACTTATCTTTTCGAAAAGATTAATTGTACAGTTTGCTGGTGTCAGTTTCATTCTTTTATTTGCCTTTTAAATTGTCTAAAGTTAATTTCCTTCGCCACCAACTGGGCAGCACTAAACCATGGTCACTAGAACTAAAATAATCTGTAAATCTTATCTTAAAATGTGTCCACAATAAACATGGTTTAGGATTAATTAGCAATAATGTCCATGCAATTAAACATTACTTATCAGAGCGTAATGTTGATGACTAAAGCCTAAAGGTTAAGAGGAAGTTTTTGCCATGGATGACTAATACGAATGAATTGTGTTTAAAAGACTAATTTTACTGCAGATTTTTTGACTCCTTTAGTGATTTTGGATCTTAAAAGTTGAGGAGATAGTCTGAATTCTCGACTAAAATTATATTGTTGTTGAATCACAACATCGTAGAAGTTAATCATCCGCGAAA